GCTGAAACAATGGTTTTTGAGGTACCATGGTGTTAAGCATTCATTCTTCATCTTATTTGCTGTGTACTGTATGCTGCTTTTGGGTTCCGTGGCTTCCCTCTTTCTTGTGTTTTTGTGATAAGCTATGGTGATAAATAGTATTTCTTTTTTGTTCTTGTAGCTTTTCCCGGAAGTTGCTCCCAACACAGCAGATAATTTTCGGGCACTCTGCACAGGTTTATTTTCCTGCTTGCTGGTTGTTTCCGCATTGTGATGTTTAGTCCAACTTTTTATCCATCTTTTCTTTTAACTTTCTCTTTTGAAACCTTTAGGCGAGAAGGGTGTTGGACTCAGAAGTGGAAAACCTTTGCACTACAAAGGATCATTTTTCCATAAGATTATCAAAGGTTCCATGGCACAGGTTTGTCTTTCCATCTTTTGTTTACCTGACATAAGATTTGTTTCCAGCTTTACCTTTAGTTTCCTTCTCAACATTGCTTGGATGTCTGTCTTTTTAGTCAGTTGCTATGTTTATGCTGTAGGATACAGGTCCGATCGCCATGCCTGCTTTTCTTGTGATATAGTTTTAAGGTTGTACTACTAGTTGTTCATTCCCAAATGTTTCTGGACCTTCTCATGCCAAAACTATATTTTTGTGCAAAAATCAAAATCATGATTACCAGTGTTCTAACAAGTCATGATGCTGAATTTTGCAGGCTGGCGACTTTGTGAATCGAGATGGTATGTGTATACTGCATATTTAACTCATTGTGTGATTCAATTTTTCTTTTTGAGATCAAGATATCAAGTAGGTATGTCAGTGACATTTATTTGTTTTCTGCCATCTTTTATTTATAATTATATTGCATTTCTTTGTCTGTTAATCAACTGCGATTAAACAAGTAAAATCTAATCGAAAAACTCAAATTCTCGTGCATTCCAAATGTCTTGAAATGATATTGAAGTCTGATGACCCTTTTGGTCCTTGAGACTGCGTTCATAAGATATTTATGTGGGGGTTCTTAGTTTTGTCTACCCAAATAATTTCCTATAAGTTATGCAATCAACAAACGTAATATTCGTAAACTCATCATCCTTTGATCTGTTTTAATTTTTAAATATTTCATCTGCCTGCTAGGTACTGCTGGGGAAAGCATATTTGCAGGAAAGTTTCCAGGTTTGTTTGCTGTTAACGTTTTCACTACCATTATTTGTTTTTTTTTTCATCCCAGTAAAACCTGTGTGAAGCTGAGAAGTTTTGAGTACAGATATTTCCTCTATATATCTTCAACGCTAGTCATTTATGAACAAAAACTAGTTTATTCTCGAAGGCCTTGTGTTATTTACTTCTCTGTTGATGCTTCTATCTTGTAATCGTATTCCATTTGTTCCTTTGAACGCTTTTTTTGAATAATGAAATCAATTTTTAATGTCTACCAGATGAGTTGCCCAAACTAAGGCATGATGAACCTGGTCTTTTATCTATGTCTGTTGATGAACGTGACAAGCTGGGATCACAATTTATAATCACCTTTAAGCCGAATCATCAGCTTGACAGGTTTCCTTTTTCCTCTTTGTTATGCTCCTTATGTTTAGGAAACAACACTTAGTTCAATTCTGAATGTATATCCTATCAACTTGGGGTTTCCCCTCTGTTTTTCTTTTATTTCTGTCCTTGTTTCTGTTTATCAGGCGCAATGTTGTTTTCGGAAAGCTTGTTCAAGGGAAGGAGGTACTAAAGAAAATTGAACGTGTGGGTGATGAGGAAGGTAAACCTACTGTCACTGTGAAAATAATTCGCTGTGGAGAATACAACGAAGGTAAAAATCTTCTACCCGTTGAGACTATCAAAAGCTTATATGATTCCAGCAATGTGATATTGTGATGTGATATGGTACTATATGGAAGACTTTTTAGTATTCGATTTTGAAATTTTTTATTCTTATTGCATAATCTATTCCTATAGACAGGAAGAGAAATGGTCTAAAGAAGGGAAAACACAAGAAATCTTCAAGAGAGAGAAGAAAGAAGAGAAGAAGGCACTATTCATCTGAATCTGAGAGTTCCCCAGATTCTGATACAGATTTGTCTGAGTCTGATAGTGAGTCAGATTCATCTCTTTCCTCATCATCTGGCCTAAGCTCTTCAAGTGATGACAGAAGGAAGAAAAGAAAGAGAAGTTCAAAACGAGATAAGCACAGACGTATCAAACGAAGAGATAAACGGCGAGAGAAAAAGCAAAGGAGGCATGATAAGAGATCAAAGCGCAAATCGAGAAGGTTGTAAGTGATGTACCTCTACGTATTTATCATGATGGTGGTGTCGTGTCAACCTTCATTGCTGCTTAGGAATCCTTCTCTACTCTGAATGTTCCATTTACAATTGCATTTTCATTACTAGGATGTAGAATGCTGAAGCACGAGCCTCAATCATACATTAGTTATTTTTTTCCTTGTGATCTAGGTTTTATTGGTCATTTACATAAACATATATTCTGAAAGCCATTCTTACCGTTCCTTATACCTGGTTTATCTTTTCAGTCCCCTGTAAACTATATTTAGCTGGTTAGGCAATTGAGAATAAATCTTGGAGTCAATTCCCTTTTACCCTTTCAGGTCTCCAGATAGTCTCACTGATGAAGACAGTAACAGTGAAAGTGAAACCAGTATTAGTGATGCTGGTGCTGATGTTCAAGGAAAAGGGCGGAAGCCTAAAACATCCTCTGCCAGAGCAGGTATTATCAAAATTTTAATTGTCAGTTGAATCTGCATCCAATAGCTCTGTTATTTGAGTTGTTACTTGTTTGTTACCTCTTTGTGATGATCTTTCGGAACTGAGGAATTGAGGATAATGGAGGAGGCCAATTATTTGGAAATATTCAATGTGTTCCTCTACTCTACAACACTGTAGATAATTTGTGTTTTCTGATCGCTTTAGATTGCGCTATGCATCTTATTATCGGCCTTTCACAAATGCTTGCGGAGCCTGGAGTTTTATTGGTCTGCATTCTAGTAATATTTCCAACTACAACCTTGAATTAGGGGATTCTCTGTCGGATGTGGAAAAAGGGGCTGAATCTCGTTACCAGGAGAAAAGGGTGGAGCAAGCTTTGCTTGAGAAGGATGATGGTGAAACACCCTTGGAAAACAGAGGCCAGAGAAGCAATGGATTACCAGATGGTTCATCTGAACAGATTTCTGATAGGCATCCTGATGACCATCCTGGCAAATCTAGGTCTAATTTCTATTCTTCCAATATCTTGGCTATTGGTTATCTTTGTTCTTATTCCATATGGATATATTACTAAGGGTTGATGAGCAGGAGCCGGAGCCGGAGCCGGAGCCGGAGCTTGAGTCCTAAGAGAACAGCGAGTAAGAGTATGAGTATCAGTCCCAGAAGAAGTCAGAGTAAGAGCCCAGGCGCAAGTCTTAGGCGAGGTCTGAGCAAGAGCCCTGCTAGAGGAACCCCCCATGGAAATCTGAGAAACAGCAGAAGCAGAAGCCTTAGCAGGAGTCTTTCAAAAAGTGTTAGCAGGAGCCCCATGCACGCAAAAGCAGGAAGAGAGATTAGCAGGAGCCCTGCAAGGAGTATGAGCAGAAGTCCATTCAGAGGGAGGGCAGAGAGGAGTGGAAACCTGAAAAGGAGTATTAGCAGAAGCCCCGTGAGTGCAAGATTAGAAAGGAGTGTTAGCAGAAGTCCAGTGAGGGGAAGAAACACCAGAAGCCCTAGCAGGAGCCCTGTCAGGTCCTCGTCTCACAAAAGCAATAGTAGGACCCCGCCTAAAAAATCATCGATAAGAAGTGGTAGCAGGAGCCCTGTCCGTTCATCTAGAAGAAGTTTCAGCCAAAGTCCCATCCGATCTTCTAGGAGAAGTGTGAGCAGGAGTCCCATCCGATCGTCCAGGAGAAGCATTAGCAGGAGTCCCATTCGATCATCTAGGAGAAGCACTAGCAGGAGTCCCATTCGATCATCTAGGAGAAGCATTAGCAGGAGTCCAGTCCGATCATCCAGGAGAAGCATTAGCAGGAGTCCGGCTAGAGCAAGGAGAAGGTTTAGTAGAACCCCATTTTGGGCACGAAGCAGGAGCCCACGCCGTAGATCTTCGAGGAGCCCAACTCCTGTACGGAGGCCTAGATCACCTCCCTCTGATCGCAGAAGAAGTTTGTCAAGAAGTGTTTCTCCTGATGGGTCTCCAAAGCGTATTAGACGTGGAAGAGGTTTTAGCCAGAGATACTCCTATGCGCGCAGATACAGAACCCCATCTCCAGATAGATCCCCTGCAAGATCTCATCGCTACGGTGATAGAAACGATCGTGATAGGTGAATAACATTTGTTCGTAAAACTAATTTATAATTACATCACGCTTCCATTGCATCGTAACCCAGAAACCATATCTTTTTCGTGTATACATGTAGATATGGGGGCTACAGAAGGTACTCAACAAGACGGTATAGAAGCCCACCAAGAGGAAGAACACCTCCAAGGTGAGCTACATTGCTAATAACTTAAGCTATTTGATTTGGATGAGATTCTTAACAGTCACTCCTCCAAGTTGTAGACGTAGAATGGTTACCCCTTTTCGTCCTGAAGAATTACAATGGTTACCCGTTTTCCGTCTATCTGAAGAACTAAAATGGCTACCCATTTTTTCGTCTATCTGAAGAAACTGTAATGGTTTCCATTTTTGTCTCTGAAGAACTAGAATGGTTGCTGTCACCTGTCTCTCTTCTCACTCCTCTCTAACTTGCAGCACTAGTTCACAAATACTTTACATTTCAGGTATAGAAGAAGCAGGACAAAAAGCCGCTCTGTATCACCTAGTCCCCGTTACCGTGGCCGTCGCTTTAGCCGCAGCCCTATACGTAGCCGTTCTCCACCTATACGTAGCCGTTCTCCACCTTTCACCAAGAGAAGATCACCTTCCCATAGCCCGAGCAGAAGCCCGTCGAGATCAAGATCCTATTCGGGGTCCCCCAGGCGAGCAGGGAAAGCAAGATCAGTGTCAAGATCACCATCCAAGTCAAGATCGCCATCAAAGTCGACCTCATCATCATCATCAGATGGGAATAAGGGTTTAGTTGCATATGACTGAGCCAGGTATGGATCTGAAACAAAGTTTCTTCTGCGTCTTTTTTTTTGTTTCTTTTCCTAAGCGAGAGAGAACCTTATCCTGAGTTTATCATGTCCTTTGCTAAGAGTTTGTGTAACAGTGGAACATCTTAATGTTTGTGTTTTGAGCTCTGTGCTTTTAGGTGTCTTGTATTATTGCAGATGGGTTCATTAATGTCGGCAAACAAATTTTATTCGAGATTTAACGTCTAGTTTCTGTGTTTTTTCTTTCTATTTTCCTGTCTGGTGAAACCACTTTGATAGTCGGGTTCTAATAACGTAGCACTATGTGGACCTAAACATGTCCGAATAAACTATCCATTTCAAGAATTTTGTGAATCTGTTCAGTTTCAGGATTTCGAATGGACATACATCGAATATTCGTGATTTTGGGTATCCGTTTTGATCCGTCTCTTTTAGATTTTGGTGTTCGGAATTCGTCATTGTACTTGTGCCACGACAAAATATTTCTGAGTTTCGGATATCTGTGGGCTGTTTATTTTTGGATATTCATCTATCTACAAAACGCGTATGGATCCGATGACAACGAGAACTCGATCTTCAGATTCGGAGTTGAATGTTAGATGACGAGAATCCGTACGCACGATTATATTTTTGTCTGGTTTGCTTAGGGGTTAGGGTTCCCTTACCACCAAGGAAATGCGTTCTCCTACACCCGTATCAGGTGTAGTGTCCCCTTGGCATTTGCATCTCAATCAACCGACCCATGTAGCTTGTGCCCTTTTTTTTTTTCTTCAGATTCTCAGCAATTTTCGGCCGAAATTTCTCGTCGTCTAATCATAACAGTATCGATTATCGAATATAGCGGATAGAGATGTAGAAGGACGACTTTCAGGTCGGGCGCGAAGGCAAAACATCTCGTCTTCTCCTCAAACGATCTACCGTTCGTGTAAACATAAAACGTTATGTAACCTTCTTCATGAACTCGCATGAGGTTTAATTGTCACGAATTATAACTTTGGCTTCACTTAATGTATGAGAAATCAGTTGTCAGATACTTTGTCACTCCTTAGGATCCAAAGCCAGGACAATGTTTGCGTGTTCCTCAAAGAGAGAAACAATATTGACGTTGATTTCACCCAACGTGGGACAAATCCTAGGCATAGACATAGACATAGACATTCCCTAACCACAAATCTAACCCGGCTTCAAGTTCAATATGAATGGAACAGGACCGAACCCAGAAGTTCTCTCTCTCTCTCTCTCTCTCTCGTATGAACATCAGCAAACAGTATACTATCATGCACAGATACATAGAGCCTTAAGGGGTATTACTAAGTGGTCAATCTTTTGATAACTTGAATTTTGAGAGAGTGATTCGATGGGGAACATATGTAATTTACTACAACAACTGTAACCAGACATGAAACTGAGAATAGAACAAGGAAACAGAAAAGAGAAACAACAACAATAGACTGACTCTCAAGGAAAGATCCCCACTCCTCTAAAACAATAATGTAAGAAACCCGAAACTCAAAACCATTGGACCATCACTAAAGCAAAGACAATTTAGCCATAACTTGGTAACGTAGCGACGAACGACGATATACCTAAACGAAGGCCGAAACTCGCTGAATTCCCTCCAAAACAATAACTCTTCCAAAACCATCCTAACCCTTTAGCTCTTATTACCCGAATTCGCAATTTTCTCAGCTTTGTGAACTCTTCTCTGATCAAGAATCAGATGTGACCAGATCAGTCCCGGGATTCGTTTCGTTTCGCAGCACCTTCTCCTTCCCTCTCTTCCAAGAGCTTTCCAGCCTCTTCATCAGTGGGCTGAGTCTTCTTCTGTGCTTCCTTAGCCTTCAAAGCCTGCAACTTTGAGTGGTTGTAGTATCCAACCCCCAAGAAGGCGAGCCCGTAACCGAACAGATTGATGGGAGTGACCGTGTCCTTGATCACGGACCATGAGAACGCGATCAAGAGCCAATCCTTGACCACACCGGCGACATTCATGGTGAGGGCCGAGGTTTTCCCCACGAGAAGGAACACGGCGAGATTCAAAGCGAATGCGCAGAGGGAATTGGTACCGAAGATGAGGAAATCGAAATGGAAGCTCGAAGTGTCCCTAAGAACTGGGTATTCGACGAAGATCCAAGGCACGAACAGGAAAACCAAACAGCAGGGAGCAACGTAGTAGAGAGAAGTAATCGGATTAAGGTTAATGCCTTTGGAGGTAAGCAAGATCTGGATGAGAACCAACCTCGTGGCCTCGAATGCCACGGCACCCAGCTGAAGAATCACGCCCCAGACGTCGAATCTAGCCTCACCGTACGCAGCAATCGCAACGCCGAACGAGATCGAGAGCATGTTCGTCATGGTGTCGGATTTGAATGTTTCCTTCTTGAACAAGACGCCGATGGAGTAAACGGCGACGGGCATGAGGGCTTTGAGCATCTGGATGAAGGAGACGGAGAGGTAGATGTAGGCGGAGTTGGAGAGCCAGAGGGAGATAGAGTACAAGGCGCCGATGGGGACGATGGATCTGAGGTAGGTGTCGCGCGACATCGAAACGGGCTCAACGACCTTGAAGACCTTGATGAGGAGGACGGCGAGGGTGGAGCAGAACGCCATATGGATCATGGTGAGAGTGATCGGGAATGGCCAATTGTACATCTTCTTGTCGAGGATGTACTTGTTGTAGACAATGACGGTGAAGCTGAGGAAGATCCAGATCGCGACGTAGGTGTAGGAGAGGACGATCTTCTTGATAACCCCCTCGCTGAGCGCCCCGCCTTTTCCCATGGTGGTGGAGAGATCTCGCCGGAGTTGGAGGTTTCCGATGGTGCCGCGGCGGATGTGCGCAGGATAAGGGAGGAGCGGGCGCAGGGTAAGGGGAGATTGGAGTGTGATTATTTTGTGCTTGGGCTTCCGATTTGAAGCTTTCTAATGTAGGAGCAGTTTGGCGTGGCTCAGTATTTATGCCACGTGGCAAAAAAGTCCTCGCGATGCGGGCTTTTAATGGGCCCCACAATACTTTTCTTCCGTTTTGATTTTTCATTTCCTTTTTATTTTAACTTTAAATATTTCCTTTTTTTTTCTCCGAACTAAAAACAATTATTTATTTATAATAAGAAAAAAAAACAAATATAAATGAACCATTGGCATAGGGTATACTATTATTTGAGTAATAACAGCCTGGTTACGTTTCGTCAAGGTTGCTGCGAATGAAGGTTTCGTAGTTATTAACTAAATTAATTAATGCACATTAATTAATAAATAAAGAGTAACGAACAGGGAAGTAACCACGACGAAGAGGGAAAATATAAAAATAAAGTCAACGTATGAAGCGCGTGAGTCGCACGCACTTCCCGTTTCTCACGGCGGTTCTGCTTTCCTTCCCTCGTACGCTGTAACGTCTCGGACACTTCGAAACGGAGTTTCGACGTCTCCGTTGAAAACTAAACAATTGGGCGCCAAACGCTTAGACTAATTGTTTTTTTAGTTTTTGGTAATTTTTTTTTGCTTTTAAGTTTTTGTTTTTGTAATATTTATAGTTTTTATAAAACTTGATTGGTAGAAAATAATCAAAAATAATTTTTTAGTAGTAATACAAAATTTATGTTTAATAATATTGGTAATAACAACGATAATATTAATAGAAAAATAAAAATTTCATAATTTTATTTGTAATATGGTAATGTAGTGATATCAAATTAACGAAAAAAAGATTTGTTAGAGAAACAAAATTCTAATATAAAAAATTCATGATTGAGAATCCTATAATGCTATTGCAAAAATAAACTAAAATAATCTGATAGTTATGTAAAACAATTTTCATATGTACGTTTAATATAAAAATAACATATATTTCATTATCAACATCAACCTCCTTTATTTAGGGAACGGCTTCGTTAATTCTTTGTTTCCACTCATGTCGGTATAAAGTTAAATCTTCCAAAATTTGTAACGATTCCAAATCATTCATAATGACCATTCCCAAGTAAACGTAGTCCTTCTTTTTCTCTCTAATTTCATTCATATATTCTTCACTTTTTATAACCGATGCATATACAAACATGTTAAACGTGTTAGGTTTCTTGAGATTTCATATGCGATTCACAATCACATAGAAATTCGGCTTCTAGAGTTCATGTATCATAAGAGATAACAAAAATTTATCAGCCCTAGAAATAGAATCATTCATGTTGTAGTTGTAATTCTCAAAAAAATCCGAACAACAAAGTGATCAAAAGGTCCAAATCATTTATATGAAAACACATGCTCAAATACCACTTGAAACGATTAAGTATATAACTATAGATTCCTTCTCCAAGTAAATCATCAACATAAATGAACATATGTAACTTATTCATTTTATGAACATACATAAATGGAAAGTAATCTGCATACGACCATCCAAAATCTAAATGTCAATAAAGAGGTAGTGAGTTTCTCAAACCAACATCGAGGAGCCTAACGATTTTAGTAATTGGCATACATAGGATGGTTCCGATTTTGAAAACTCTTGTGGAATGTGCATGTAAATCTCCTAATCTAAATCTTCGTGTAACAAAACATTCTCAACATCCGTCTGATGCACTTCTCAATGTTTAACTGCATTCGCAAAGAGAAACGTGTCTAGTCATTTTTATGGATGAAGCATATATATGTATATGTATATATATGTATTTTTTATTATTTTATTATTAGTATTATTATAATTTTTATATTTGTGTTATTAAATCTCATGTGACTGATAAAATATCATATTATTATGAGAAACTTTTTGTAAAATTAGATTTCCGTCAAAATTGAATAATAAAATTTTTGACTCGACAGAGTCACATGAACAGAGTCATGACTTGAATCTCATACAGCGGTTCGTTCTTGGATCCTCAGACCTGAGATGTCTAGAGTATTTGATATGAGGAGTGGCGTGTCTTGACTGCGTCAAACATCGTCTTTAACCAGATGATTATAACGGCGTTGATCAGATACGTTCACGAATCATATGGAGATAGTAGACATGCAATATGGGACTTGTCACCTCCTTAACAGGAGATATATCGTTGGGTCCTCTCATGGAAATCGGACTATGAAAAACGCGTGGCCACGCTATAGATGAAGTTGCATCTATTTTATTAGTCGATTTGCCAAGACGAGAAAGCAGTTGAACTTGAAGGGTGGCTCAAACCATGCCCTTGTTCAACACATGATATCGTGAGATAAAGGATCAGAACTCGAGCTGTTATTGCCTTGGTTAGATCACCTCTAACTCAATTCAACGTGGGT